ACTTAAAACAACACGCCACTATAAACATCAGCAGATGATGATCATTACTCTAGTGTTTGCCCAACTACTCCATCCCCAACATCATCATCTCTACCCCCTAACGTAGAATTGATATCCCTTAGTTTGCCCAGATCCTCAATAAGGAGTTGCCTAAGCTGTCTCTTGAGCGACCTCAACTCTAGCACCTGGTGTACGTAATGTTACTACTACTACTACTGTCCTCTCCTCATCAGCAGTAGCTACCTGTGCATTGAAGTTAGTCTTAATACTATGTACAGCCTCTTCTAAGAATAGCATCTGCCTCATCTTACTATCAGTATTCATCCTAATAACAACATCATTCCCTATTACCCCTATCATCATTACCGACCTCTCTGGTAGTTTATACTGTGGACTTAACTTGAGGATATGGTTACCGATACTGGCCTTAGCCTCCTCAATAGCCTCCACCTAATACCATAATTACTACCCTAGCCTCCCTCCAACCTAGCAACACTAGTATTATAGTAGCTTACATCCTTCTCATCATCTATATTATCATCAGGTCTTGCATCTCTAACCTCCTGTAATCGCCTCCTACGCTCTTCCCGTTTAGCCCTCCTCATCTCCCTTTTCAGCACAGCTGTAAGCAGTCCCTTCTGCTGCTGCTGTTCCTGCTCTTCATCATCGGTATACTTCTCTTCAGTTTCCTCTATAACATCAACACTATCCTCTCTAAGGAGCCTCCAACTTACTACCCATCACACTAAATACATCTGCTAGAGACTTGCTACTCCCTCGACGGGCCGCCTTTGTGGGCCCGGACCCTTCTTCTAATAGGAAGGACTCCGACCATGAGCACATACTATTCCTACCACTGCTCTCTAGCATCCCCCTTAATCGAGCTAGTTCATGATGGAACTGTTTAGGAAGGATCTGTAGACGGAATGTACCTGCCAATGGCACCTGTAAAGCCCCTCCAGAGTGGTGATGCACCCACCAACACGAGCTAAGTGAGATCCAAAGGACGAGACCTGTATTGACTGATCACACTCTAGTCCCTTTAGGAAGTGTTCCTTCAACTTCGATACACCCAATAAGCTCTTCTCAATATCATAGGCCATCTCTACCCTCACCTAACTTTATATATGTAGCCATGACAAGCAGTACCTTACCCCTTCCACAGTGGCATCTATATCTCGTCGTAGACTATGTACATACTCATCATCAACAGTGAATAAGGTGGTTGCCTCCTTCACACTCAATGGCTGTAGATTGGCTTCCTCTACCTAAACCTACTCAATGATACTAAGCCTCATTAGATACAGTAATAACCTTCTTATAGAAATCTGACTTAATCTCTTCCAGCTCTTGTCGGAGTACGACAACCTCCTTCCTAACCTGATATCAATACGGTATGTAGGATACTCATCATTCATAGCTACCATCATAAGCCTACTACTACTACCCCTTCTTTGTGTTTCTCAGCAACGGCTCGAGCCCTCTCCTCCTCAGCCTTTAACTTCTCTTCTTCTAGAGAGTAGTGGCCACGAGTTGTGATAACCTAGACCCAGCATCGGACCACCCTCTCCGGTAAGCCTCTTACTACCTCCACCCCTTCCGGCACTGACGTGGCCTTAGGCGGCATCCTTCCCAACAAGTGCTGCTTACCAGTGGGGGTAGATCTATACAGATGACCACCATACTCC